TTCATCGTCTTCTTCTTCTCTCTCGTTCAGAAAGGTTCTCTCTGTAAGCTGTCTGTGCACAGTATGTAGCACAGGTCCCTGGACGGCTATGTGCAGTGCGACTTGTGTCTACGCTGCAGCGGTCCGGGATGTACTGACTCATCTGGCTTCCTGTTGGATTCAAGGGACTGTTCGCTCATATACCAAACAATCCGGAATACAACAACATTCACCTTGAGGATTTAACATTCATCTTGAGAATTTATCATTTAACTTGAGGATTTAACATTCATCTTGAGAATTTAACATTCATCTTGAGAATTTAACATTCATCTTGGGGATATAACATTCATCTTCAGGATTTAATGTTCATCTCGAGGATTTAACGTTCATCTTGAGGATTTAACGTTCATCTTGAGAATCTTCATCTTGAGGATTTAACATTCATCTTGAGGATTTGACGTGCATTTTGGGGATATAACATTCACCTTGAGGATTTAACGTGCATCTTGGGGATTTAACATCATCTTGAGGATTTAACGTTCATCTTGAGGATTTAACGTTGATTTTAAATCCATGTTAAGGATTAAAGATCAACATTAAGGAGTAAGGATCCATTTGATTTGAAGGATTAAAAGGCCAATCTTAAATATTGAATGTCAATCTTGTCAAGGAGGAAAGATCAATATTTAGAAGTAAAGATCAACCTTCAAGGATTAAAGTTTATTATAAGGATTTAAGGTCAATTTTTTAGCTCAAATTTTGCATTTGGTCAATCCATTCAATCCACTTCAATCCACTTCAATACACTTCAATCCACTTTAATCCACTTTATCCATTTTAATCTATTTTAATACACTTCAATCCACTTCAATCCACTTCAATCCACTTCAATCCACTTTGATCTATTTTAATCCACTTCAGTCCACTTTAATCCATTTTAATCCACTTCAATTCACTTCAATCCACTTCTATCCACTTTTATCCACTTTAATCCACTTTAATCAACTTTAATTCACTGTTATCCACTTTTATCCACTTTAATTCATTTTAATCCATTTAAATCCACTTCAATTCACTTCAATCCACTTTAATCCATTTCAATACACTTCAATCCTATTCAGTCCACTTCAATCCATTTTAAAATACTTTTATTAAAATTTTCTACTCCAGATGTTTCTTTCTAATATTTTTTCGTATCTTTTGATCATATTTTCATCTCAGGTATTATACTCTCTAAGATTCTAACTTTTTTTTCTTTCTGATAAGATTTATTGCAGTTTGATGATTATTTTGTAATCATGATATTTAATGTTTAAAAAGGTTTAAAATGTATGATATATTTGGAGAGCTTTTTTATTATCAAATGTTAATTTTAGCAATGTTTTAAAAACAATTTGATTTACGACAATGTTTTAAGTCCATTCTTGAACGTAAACATGCATTAGAAGTGTTGTGGTTTATTGTAAATGTACCATGTAAATTGTAAAGTGATATCTTTTCCATATTCCCCCCCTCCCCNAAAGATGGCAATGCCCAATTCACAACGGTACCCTTTATTCCTTGAAACCTTAGCTGATCTTGTCTTTATCTAGGTTTAACGTGTTTACTGTTTATTTCTGACAATTCCTTTGTTTTCCTGCAGTAGAATTGCGCAAGTCACTTCCCCCCATTGATGATAATTAATTTAGAAAATTCATTCTTATTGATGCAAAGTTTTCAAGGAATGTATTGCCATCTTTGTATGGAGGGTCACTTGAAATTACGCTTACAGTCCCTTTAAAGTATTGTTAGATGTATTTTATTGAAGGGGAGGGGGTTATTATGGAAAATATTGTTGTTAGTCTTATTTTTGAGCTTACAAATTTATTTATTAGGAATTTTATTTTTTAAATTTATTTACATTCTTGATTTCTTTTGTACAATGGATTTATTTGTCCAATTTCGAAAGAATTTTGATTTTTAATTCGCTTGATTTTTTTCTGCACCTACTTGAACTTTACGTTTAAATGAATGGATTACTCGCCATCCTGATCCTTGATGATTGAGACTGTTCTGAAACTATAAACTTTTCCTAAATGAAATAGTCAAAATATTTTGATTTCACTATCAGGTTGCAAAGATATAGTAATGTAAAATATCAGAGTTTGTGGCAAGTATTTAGTTCCTACTCTCAGATTTATTTTCCAGCAAACTTTTTTAGAGGAGTATATTTATTATTTATACTTATGAAATCAAATTTTGCCCAATTTAGCAGAACACATTTCTAATATGTAGGGAAAACATAATGATTGTTTTCTGAAAATATATTACTCTAAACTTTGGGTTCAATCTTGTATCTAAATTTGATGCTATAAGAAAGCAAAATGGAATATCTCATTTTAGTGATTGTATTTTTTATATCTAAATAGTGTTATTATTTTAATTATTTATATGATGTATGTTATATATTATTGGAATAATTTCAGTGAAAATGTCCTCCACTGATGAGTGCTACTTTCACGGTAAATGGTTATTTGTAATTTTAAAAAAAACACATAAAACTCGATGTATAATTTATGACTAGTTTCCCATACTGCTTTGCGCCGAACTTTATCCTTTTAGCTCCTGATCGGAAATTGTATGTTTAATGTAAAATTTTGCATTTTTTCTATTTTATTGATAGATTTTTTAAGTCTTTGACAAATCAAACTTTCAAAAAGTCAAATTTTTTTCAGAATTATATTTGCATATTAGTGGGTATAACAAAACTTAAAACAAAACACGCTTATTGTGTCGAAACATCTATTAAGTGAATTTATTCATAATGATGGTTCTATACCTGAAATGAAAGTGTTTTTACCCTTGAAATGAAGTATTGGTGATTTGTACCTCGAGGCGTTAATTTGTGTTTGGAAATTTTGCCGATTTGAAATTGTTGTTTTGAATTTTTGGTGTTGCAAGGTAGTCCCTAGTTCTTTGTCGGTTCAAGTATGAATTTAACATCAATCTTCTGTTTTTGTTTAAACTGTTATTTTCAATTGCGGGTTCTGTGCGAAAGTGACCTGCGCATTTCTTACTTTTAAGAGGCAAAAAATTTCACAAATAAACAATTTGAGTTTGAAAAACGATACCTTCTGCATTTTGGTCAAATTAAGGTTTCAAAAGTACCATTGTAAATCGGGCATCGTCATCTTGGCATGGAGGGTCACTGCATGACGCTCACAGTCCATGTATTTTTGTTTGTTCTAGGTGTGAAGGTCCGTCGGTTAAATGAAGAAGGAGCTTCGGTACCTGTATATGGTACGAAGGTTTCTCTCAAGGCGGAATACGATCCTAAGGTATTGTATTATGTTTTTGTTCTTTTATATTTGTTATTTATTCATTAATTCATTTATTCATTTATTCATATTCATTTATTCATTTATTCATTTATTCATTTATTCATTTATTCATTTGTTCATTTGTTCATTTGTTCATTTATTCATTTGTTCATTTGTTCATTTGTTCATTTGTTCATTTGTTCATTTGTTCATTTGTTCATTTGTTCATTTATTTACTCATTTACTCATTTACTCATTTACTCATCAATTTGTTTTTGATAACTTGCATTTAGCAAAATGTAATTTTTTTCACATGTTCGTCTACTCGTTTCTTCTTTTATGACAGACAACTTGTGAAAATGTCAAATGTTAAATATTATTTAATGAGGGTATGACGATAAAGATTGAGGATGCTTCTGAACCGAAGGAGTTCATTGTCTCAAAACAATCCGAGTTTGCCAGGGTTGGTCAGAAAGGTAAATTTTTACAGGGAAAATTTTTATTTGATGTGACAGTACTAAGTTTTATTTTTAGACGTTACAAGCTACAAGGCCTCACTTCATTCTTAAACTAGTAAACTCATTTCGAGTTTTGGGTGGGGATAGTATGTCTCCCTAACAGCCAGATTTGATTTGACTGTCTGTTTTGGTTAATATGTCAATTATATAAGGTTTAATCTTCAAACTGTCAACTGAGACCCTCCTGGTACAATTCCCTACGGACGAGGTAGGATTTCTAATCAATCTAATTTTTTAGAAAATAAATAATTAAGAAAATATTCGAGGGATAAGCTATTTTTTTTCGTAAAAAGTTTGACAATTCATATTTTCATCAAGTTTCAAAATATCTGACTGAAGTCTGATTTTTTTGTACAAAAAGAAATAGTATTTTTAATGGAGAAATTATGATAAATTAGTTTAAATCATTGATTTACAAGATAAATAAATTAGTAAAATTTTGTAATTTTTTATTTGATTTTTTATATTTATATTATATTTAGAAAATGTACTTGTACATGTTTTAAATATATTTTTTTGACGACATTTTTGTCGTTAAAGATTAAAAAAAATTATATGTCTAGAGTACAAACAAACTGTACAAGGCTGTGATGGGTCTCAGGAAGGAAAAGGTAAAAGAAAAAATATTAAATTTTGAATTTTAAAATGAATTTCAATCACTGCATTGAGACTGTATCTGTTACTTATAGAGTTACCCACAAAGACTGAGAATTTGACGACGACCTTAAACTATTAAATTATGACGATCCGAAGAGGTTTGAAATATTTGGAAATAGGAAAATGTAAATTCCGTACAGTCGTCTTTGAAGTCTTCTCCTTTGTGGGTAACTCTGCAGTAAAAAGAGATTTTTTCTGTGCTTATAAGCTAGAATTCTAATTTCTGTTCCTGTAAGCTAGAATTCTAATGTCTGTGCCTGTAAGCTAGAATTCTAATTTCTGTAACTGTAAGCTAGAAATCTAATGTCTGTGCCTGTAAGCTAGAATTCTAATTTCTGTAACTGTAAGCTAGAATTCTAATTTCTGAGCCTGTAAGCTAGAATTCTAATTTCTGTAATTGTAAGCTAGAATTCTAATTTCTGTGCCTGTAAGCTAGAATTCTAATGTCTGTGCCTGTAAGCTAGAATTCTAATGTCTATGTCTGTAAGCTAGAATTCTAATTTCTGTGATTAAGTTAGAAATCTAATTTCTGTGTCTGTTAGCTAGAATTCTAATGTCTGTGCATATAAGCTAGAAATCTAATTTCTGTGTCTGTAAGATAGAAATCTAATTTCTGTGCCAGTTATCTAGAAATCCAATTTCTGTGTCTGTAAGCGAGAAATCTAAGGATAAGGGGGAATACGACTGATCTCACACGAAAGTCTTGTTTTATAACCATTATATCTTAGCGACCTAATTTCTGAAAACCTTTGATAGACCATGAATTAAAATCCAATTGCGAAGTTTGAAATATAATTCCTGATTCAGTAAATTCATCTTGAGATTGAATGGTGTATAGTAGGACCTAGAAGGACCAACCTAAAAGCCTGATTCGATTTGATTTAAAAGGGTTACACCAGCGTCACCAGCGTCCAGCAGGTTGATATAGAGATAAGATAATTTTAGCTTTTAGTTCCTTCGTAAAAAAAAAAGTTTTTGAAACGATCGTTTTTTAATTTAGGAAGTTAGTGTTTTCACTGAGAGAACAGAGGAGAGCAGTGCCAGTCAGTATTTCCAGTTCTACGGATACCTTTCCCAGCAGCAGGTAGTCCTTTATATACCTTTCCCAGCAGCAGGTAGTCTTTAAATATCTTTTGTAGCAGCAGGTAGTCCTTTATATTACTTTCCCAGTAGCAGGTAGTCCTTTATAATCCTTTCCCAGCAGCAGGTAGTCCTTTATATACCTTTCCCAGCAGCAAGTAATCCTTTATATACCTTCCCCAGCAGCAGTTAGTCCTTTAAATACATTTCCCAGCAGCAGGTTGTCCTTTATATACCTTACCCAGCAGCAGGTTGTCCTTTATATACCTTTCCCAGTAGCAGGTAGTCCTTTATATACCTTCCCCAGCAGCAGGTAGTCCTTATACCTTTTCCAGCAGCTGGTAGTCTTATATACCTTTCCCAGCAGCAGGTAGTCCTTTAAATACCTTTCCCAGCAGCAGGTAGTCCTTTAAATACCTTTCCCAGCAGCAGGTAGTCCTTAATATACCTTTCCCAGCAGTAGGTAGTCCTTAATATACCTTTCCCAGCAACAGGTAGTCTTTTATAACCTTTTCCAGCAGCTGGTAGTCCGTTATATATCTTTCCCAGCAGCAAGTAGTCCTTTATATACCTTTCCCTGCAGTATGTAGTCCTTTATATTCCTTACCCAGCAGTAGTTAGTCCTCTATATAACTTTTCCCAGCATCAGGTAGTCCTTTATATACCTTGCCCAGCAGCAAGTAGTCCTTTATATAACTTTCCCAGCAGCAGGTAGACCTATTTATAGCTTTCCCAGCAGCAGGTAGTCTTTAAATATCTTTTGTAGCAGCAGGTAGTCCTTTATATTCCTTCCCCAGCAGCAGGTAGTCCTTTATAAACCTTTCCCAGCAGCAGGTAGTCCTTTATATACCTTTCCCAGCAGCAGGTAGTCCTTTAAATACCTTTCTTAGAAGCAGAAAGTTCTTTTAATTCCAGTTTTTTCTCCGATTATTACGAAAGGTATTTTTCTGGAAATAACGGATGGTTTGTAGATTAGTAGATGAAAAAATGATAAGGTCCTCTCTTCCTTCAGGAGACTGCATTTAAAAACATATTTAAAATTTCATTTTCTGAAAGTTTGCTTTTAATAAATTAACTATGCGTAATATTGACTTCGGCAAAAGTTGTAGACCTATACGATTTTTTAAATCATTTGATAGCGAACGATTTGTTAAGCTTGTTCAGGTTTTTATTCATGAAGAAAGCAAATATTTTGAAAATTTTCATGAAAGTGAATTAGAAAAAAGTTGAATAATTATAATCTAAGCAGACTTTTGCGGAGTCTACTGAAAGCCAAATAACCTTTAATGTTAGCAAAACGAAACGGCCCACACTCTTCAATAGTTTCAATAAAAGATAATTATAATTATTTAATTTATTTAGAACATGATGCAAGATTTTATCCGTACTTCAACCTACCAGAAAGCTATTCTAGACAATCCGGTCGACTTTACAGGTACTCACCACCCCCCCCCCCCTTCCCTCTTTACAGGTACTCACCCCCCCTTCCCTCTTTACAGGTACTCACCCCCCCTTTCCCTCTTTAATTTCCCCTCTTATTGATATGGGTGCGGAGCGTAATTTTTTTGAACATTTTTTCATATTGTAAGGGAAAAATTATTGTTAATTTTTTCCTCCTGAAATGATTAAAAGTTGTGGAGTTATTCAAATTATTTATTACCCTTGAAGAAGCAGGATATTAGACTTCACTTAAGTTCAGTTATTCGTAGACTAGATCAATTTAAGACAATACGCCAAGCTTTTCAGATATTTCCAAATATTGTTTTAGTCTTCAGGACTTGATTTTAGTCTACTTAATACCAGTTTCAGGACTTGATTTTAGTCTACTTAATATCAGTTTCAGGACTTGATTTTAGTCTACTTAATGTCAGTTTCTTGTGTGTAAAAGGCATATTTTCAAATATGTGAGAAAGCCTGAAAGAAAAATAATCTACTCTTCTTACCGAAAAATTCAATAATTTTTTTTAATCTATTTTTCTCTCTCTTATGTTCCTAATCTCATCTTTTTGATATTTAGGAAAGGTTGTTCTTGATGTCGGAGCTGGTAGTGGTATCTTATCCTTCTTTGCTTATCAGTCAGGAGCTAAGAGGGTACGTTTTAGTTGGAGGATTTATCTCACCTTCTTCGTGGATTTTAGTCTTTCGCGGGAAAAAATTTTAATCTGCTAAATTGGAAACTTGGCAGCGCTACTACATTTTGCTAGTGTAATTTTTCTATGCATGTTTCTATGCAGTGCTTAGGATACGGATCCGTTGGATCCTAAGATTTTGGCTTCCTGGGTCCGGATCCAAGGGGATCAACCAAAAACTGCAAAAAAAACTTTTTTACTCCTAAAAACCAAATCTGAACTTTAGAAAAAAAAAGAGAGATTATAAAAAGTTCCTCATTTCTGAATGGTTCATCAAGTTTTAGGATAAAAATAAAACAAAAAATTGGAACCTAAGATTTTGGCTTCCTGGGTCCGGATCCAAGGGGATCAACCAAAAACTGCAAAAAAAACTTTTTTACTCCTAAAAACCAAATCTGAACTTTAATTTTGCCAACCAATTTGTCAGGAATAAGTAGTAGAAATGGCGGAATCTCACATTAAAAATGGCGGTATTAAAAATTCAAAATGGTCGTTTCAAATTTAGAAAAAAGAAGAGAGATTATAAAAAGTTCCTCATTTCTGAATGGTTCATCAAGTTTTAGGATAAAAATAAAACAAAAAATTGGAAAAATTTTTTTTTTTTAAAAATTCAGTAAATCTTAAAGAAATGACCTGGATCCGGATCTGGATCCATTTTTTCCAGTGCGGATCCAGGATCCGGATCCTGATCAAAATTAAATGGATCCTAAGCACTGTTTCTATGTAAAAAGCTTCCCTCGTACCACTCGGCTACTCTTTGTAGCAGCGCTTCGGAAGGTCTTTAACCTAACTCTAAACAATGTGACAACCAATATGTTTCATATAAAATGTCATATAAAGAAGATTTCAATTTTTTTAATATAACAAATAAATTTTTTCCGTTCCGATTTATAAGGATTATTTTAAAATTATTTTTCTGTCTTAATTTTTAATTTTTTTTATTTTAGGTGTATGCTGTAGAAGCCAGTAGTATTGCAGTACACGCCGCCAAACTAGTTGCAGCTAACAAGGCGGATGATGTCATCAAGGTTTGTAGGGGTTCGGTGTAAATCAAGAAGAAAGATTTTCTCAAAAAATCCTTGGAAAATCTTTTTTTCCCCGAATGTTTATATGTTTGCGCGGAGCGACAAAACTTTTTAAAATTGTTTTTGTTGAAAATAAATAAATTTTTACGTAAACAGTATAAATAAGATTGATCTCCAATTTCTCCTTTTTTTTTGTCCCCAAATCATCAAAAATCTTTTAGAAAAACATACTCCCCCTATTTATTGTAAAGAATCATCCCGCCGGTCGTTTAATGTATATATGCTTGGAGCGTAAAATTTTTATCACTGAACAGGGGAAAGAATTAGAAATTACTTTTAGGGGAAAATGCATTATATTTCTGGTTAAATCTCTTGTTTGGTCTAGGTTATCTCAGGGAAGATAGAAGAGATAGATCTCCCTGAAAAAGTAGACATTATTATCTCTGAACCAATGGGATATATCTCTTGTTTTGTCTAGGTTATCTCAGAGAAGATAGAAGAGATAGATCTCCTTGAAAAAGTAGATATTATTATCTCTGAACCAATGGGATATATCTCTTGTTTTGTCTAGGTTATCTCAGAGAAGATAGAAGAGATAGATCTCCCTGAAAAAGTAGACATTATTATCTCTGAACCAATGGGATCTATCTCTTGTTTTGTCTAGGTTATCTCAGGAAAGATAGAAGAGATAGATCTCCCTGAAAAAGTAGATATTATAATCTCGGAACCAATGGGATATATCTCTTGTTATGTCTAGGTTATCTCAGGAAAGATAGAAGAGATAGATCTCCCTGAAAAAGTAGATATTATAATCTCTGAACCTATGGGATATATCCCTTGTTTTGTCTAGGTTATCTCAGGGAAGATAGTAGAGATAGATCTCCCTGAAAAAGTAGACATTATTATCTCTGAACCAATGGGATATATCTCTTGTTTTGTCTAGGTTATCTCAGAGAAGATAGAAGAGATAGATCTCTCTGAAAAAGTAGATATTATAATCTCTGAACCAATGGGATAAATCTCTTGTTTGGTCTAGGTTATCTCAGGGAAGATAGAAGAGATAGATCTCCCTGAAAAATTAGATATTATCTCTGAACCAATAGGATAAATCTCTGCGTGTTTTAGGTTATCTCAGGAAAGATAGAAGAGATAGATCTCCCTGAAAAAAGTGGATATTATTATCTCTGAACCAATGGGATATATCTCTTGTTTTGTCTAGGTTATCTCAGGGAAGATAGAAGAGATAGATCTCCCTGAAAAAGTGGATATTATTATCTCTGAACCAATGGGATATATGCTGCTTAATGAGCGGATGTTGGAGACATTCCTCCACGCCAAAAAGTTTCTCAAACCTAAAGGTGATAATCAATCAATCTATCAAACAACCCTTATAAGTATAAGATGAATATACATAAATATTTCTTAAAATTTGAATTATACATTTCATCAATAACTTTTCAATAATTTCATCTTTTGAAAAAGGGACTGTAAGCTTGATTTCAAGTGACCCTCCATTCAAAGAGGTCACAGCCCGATTCACAACGGTACCCTTGAAACCTTAGTGTGTTCGTCAAGAAGTACAGAGATATGTGTGTAAACGTATCGAAATCCCCTTGTATAAACAGCTGCAAATTTCAGACTGAACGCAATGAACACCGGAATTTTCAGCTGATCATACAAAAGGATTTTATACATTTTCACACAGCTATGAAGGGTACCGTTATGAATCGGCAGTGACCTTTTCGTATGAAGGGTCACTTAAAATTACGCTTTCAGTCCCTTTAAGGGTTTTATAAAAAATGGATGAGATAGAAACGAGAAAGTGCATTCAAATGGAAAATACTCTAACAAATTATACTTTCTAGGAAAAATGTTCCCAACCCGGGGTGATCTTCATGTAGCCCCGTTCACTGACGAAGCTCTCTACATGGAACAGTTTAATAAGGTCAGGTTAAAAGAATTTATGATATTTTGAAAAAATAATATGGAAATGTTTTTTTCGTGTCCGCCACAATTTCATTTTATTTCATTTAAAAAACAAATGAAAAATATGAAGAAAATTTTTTTTTGCCAACCAATTTGTCAGGAATAAGTAGTAGAAATGGCGGAATCTCACATTAAAAATGGCGGTATTAAAAATTCAAAATGGTCGTTTCAAATAAGGGTTAAACATTACAAATGGCCGCGAGATATTTTCAAAATGGAGGCAGTTAAGAATTAAAGATGGCGGCGTTAAAATAAAATAAATAAAGACGTCGGTTATTTCAGGTGAACTTCTGGTATCAGGAATATTTCCACGGCGTTGATCTCTCTAGTCTACGTACCCCAGCCATGACAGAATATTTCAGGTAAAACTAAATCCATTTATCAACCTAATATCAGTAATGCCACCTTTTTGTTTGAGTGTTTTAAGAGAGCCGTCATCTAAATGTGCCTCAATCTGACGCGTTAATTTAACGACGGCACATTTTAGCCCTTTCTAATGAGGAAGATTTAGCTTTATCTTGCTGGAAAAATTTAAATATCCATTTTAGCAGCGTACATTTCTCATTGAAATAAAAAGATATAAGCTTTAACATCCCCCCTCCATTAAAAAGAATATTTAAATCAGTTTTGTTTTTGCAAAAGGTAAAAAAAGGAAAATCGGATATTCATACTAAATTCGAGGATTTTTTGTGCGCAAGCAAATGAACAATTTTTATCCTACAAAGTTTTTTTAATGAGTGTTTTGTTTAGGCAACCCATCGTAGACACGTTTGATATCAACATCTGCACAGCCAAATCCCAGCGTCACGTTATAGACTTCCAGGTACAGGATAGAGTCAAGGGATAGGATCAGGGTCCGTTTTCTGTGGATCCGGAATCATTTTGTGGAAATCCGGATTAGATTAGTGTAGATCCGGATTAGATTAGTGTAGATCTAGATTTATTCTGTGTAGATCTAGATTTATTCTGTGTAGATCTGGATTTACTCTGTGAAGCTACGGATTCATTTTATGTAGATCCGGATTCATTTTCTGTTGAGGCGGATTCAAATTCATTTAGTGAAGATCCGTATTAGATTCAAGTCCAATATTTATATTTACCAAGAGTTATTTATCCAAGCTTTAAAATTCAGCCCCTCCCTCCTTCCTTAAAGAGGAGAGCGGGAAAAGAATTTAAAAAATGTTTATGCCAAAAGTTTCGAACTGATCAGTCCGGTCTATCATTACACAGTTTTTGGAGTAAAAAAATTCGCATGTACTTGCTAACATCATATTATTAATTGATTGAATGACAGATTGATAAACGTTTCATGTTATGTAATTTTTATATTCAATATTTAGACGGCCGATGAGACTGATTTGCATAGAATAGAAATACCCTTGGAGTTCCATATACTAGCCTCAGGTAGATAATTTACACTTTACCGTACTGTACTTTACTGTACTCTACTGTACTGTAAACTTGATGTTCAGGCTTTTTAGAAGAAAATTTAACTTTTAAATGAATTATTAGATCTTACTTTTTCTTACCAACAATAACTTTCTATCAATAAATTAAAACAAGACATAAAACGATTTTCTTATTTATCTCGTATTGTATTTACCTTAAATAAAATATAGTTTCATTAAAAAGTGAATTTTTTTCCTGAAAACATCTTTCTTAAGTTTTTTGTCTCAATTTTTGATTTTGTTGTTTGCAGGAAGTATATTCTTACTAGATGTTGAGTTGTTTCTCCCCCCACATGAACATTTCAATTGTGTAAAACTTAAATTTCAAATGGGTAACCTCAGCTATGAACTAGGTTTAAAAGCAGAAACACCTGAGGTATATTCCGATTCTGAAAGTAGACAATGTCTAGACCTAGCATGTAAATTTTTAGAAATCCCTGTCAAGCCCTTTCTGAGAAAATTCCATTTCAGCTTTTTTTGTGTAGTTTAGACTGAAAAAAGGCGTTTGACTCAAAAGTTTTCGGGAGATTATTTGGCAACCCCAAACGTTTTAAGCTTTTCTGCTTAATTATTATCATCACATGATAAATTTATTAATGTAGAATTAACAAATGAGAAGAAATCAACCATAAAAATAATGAAAACAACCATGTAAACAATGAAATCAACCATAAACAATGAAAACAACCATTATGAGAACAACCATATAAACAATGAAAACAACAATGAAAACCTAAATTTCAAATGGACAAATTTCTTTCATCTACTTGTAGGTTTTTACCGCTAAACCGAGGAAATTCAATAATTTTGAGGAAAAGATTTCTAGGGTAGTCAAACTTTTGAGAATAAAATATTGAATTATTCTAGGTCCGTTGTCTTCTATCTCAACCCATCTTCGCTAAGCAAGGACAGCTTCTGAAAGGTTGGATTCAAAATTATTTGTAATAATTAATAAAAATGAATAAAACTGCGTCATGACCAAAATTGTCAAAGTATCTTATTTCGGGTCCTCTGATGATTAAATTTGTTTAATAGCAATAAAGGTAGATACAGGAACCATATTTGTTTAATAGTGATAAGTAGATAAACTACATAGAAATTAGTTCAACTACTTCTCTTGAATCTGAGGCTTATCAGTCAATGGGTTCATGAGCTATGATTGGATATCCAGAAAAACGCAATTACTTCTTTATATTTTAACACAAATAGGCATTTATAAATAAAAAAATGTGATAAAAAAGATTAAACAACATTTTTTGAACATTGAAAAAAAATTCGCGAAACCAATATAAAAAAAAATTAAATTTTGGAAAAATTGTTGTGAAATGTTTATTCTATTGTTTTCCAAAAGTTCATAAATAATCTTCAAAAATTGAACGAGATAACAAAAAATGTAAGCCAACTATTTGAATTTTTGAAGTCATAACAGTTCTGAGGTTATAATTTGATAACATTTACTGCACATTTCCACTAGATTTTTTTGGGGGGATTTTTTGTTTTATTTTATTCAATTTTTGATTATGTTCTACAAATATGTCTGAATTTTTTATCATTTATTTTATTAATACCTAAAATCCGAACAAAATAATAATTTTTAAAATTTGGTATAAAACAAAAATAATCTCTGTTTTGTTTACTCACCCTGTATATATATACAATTATAGGTCGTGTACTAATGGTTGCGAATGCGAAGCAAAGTTATGATCTAACTATGGAGTGTAAGATCGAAGGCACAGATACTATGTCATCCAACACCTTGGATCTTAAAAACCCATACTTCAGGTTAGTTTAGGATATTATCATCTTCTGAAAATGTCAAATCTCAATCTGCACCCTTTGATGAAGATATTGCCGTGTCTTTGTTCTCATGAAAAGATTTTTTTTTGTCAATTTCTTCGCTGCAAAATTTGTAAAATACTTTCAGAGAAATCCCTAAGTTGATTAAAATCCCTTTTCTCCTAAAATTAAAAAGTTGTAATAGGACTTACGTCAGCGATGATAAAGACACAACTTGAAGGGTATCGGTAGGGATTTGGCATACCATTATAATAATGATAGATGCTTTAATAATTCTATAAAAATAATAAAGCTGAAAAAGAAATATTATAAATAAGAACAGTTATGTGTTAAGACACAATTTTACATTTTTGATTTTTTTTCGTTAAAAATATCGAGGAAAAGTGTTGGAAAGAGTTTTTATCCAAAAATTCGCAATTTTGTGAACTATGAAAAGTCATCGCCCACAATAATCTGCAAAAGAAAAAATAATAAGGTAAAGAAAGTAAGGGGGGAAAAAATGTTAAAAGAAAATAAGGTTAAGAAAGAAAGGGAAATAAAATGTTGAATAAGGTTAAGAAAGAAAGGATAGCAAATCAGTTCAAAAAAGAAAATAAGTTTAAGAAAGAGAGGAAAGCAAATCAGTTTAAAACAAGAAAATAAGGTTAAGAAAGTAAGGAAAGCAAATCATTTAAAAAAAATAAGGTTAAGAAAGTAAGGAAAAAAGTTGAATAAAGAAATCAGTTTAAATCACGTTTACAGATCTCTCAACGGAAAGACAATACCTTTTGTTTTATTTACTTCAAGTTTAGTCACGGTTAGGACTGAAGACTGAAGAGAAAATATTTTACATCTATATGTAAATTTGGCTTGTCTGTCTGTTTGTTTGTATCCAATAAACGTCAAAACGGCTGATATTAGTCCTGACCAAGGTATGCCCTGACAGTATAACCAAGAAAACCGACAGAATACGCATTTTTACGCTTTTATATTTTTAGTCCCGGCCTGGAGGGGGGGCTGGGCTACGCACCTTACACATCTCAGGAACAAATTCAACAATTGACGCAACAAAAAAACGACGCACATTTTTTAAAAAAAAAGTTCCTATACAATTTTCTTGTTTAAAAATTGTTTTTTAAAATATAATTTTCCCCTTGCGTACTGTCGGTCTTGTTGAGTATGTACCGTTGTACAGGAATTCCCCGAGGACATGTACGCTGTGTTTGTCGACGAACTGCCGACACCGGATAAACAAACAGCAGCTGATCTTCATACAAATAATTATGATTAAAGGGACTGTGGACGTAGTATAAAATGACGATGCACGATGGTACTTTTAATTCAAACCTCTATCTGAGCAACCATGAGGAAGATATCTTCATTTTTCTATCTTTAAATGTGAAATTCTGACAATTTCAATCATTGATACTAATGCTTATTTTCAAATAGAAAAACAGAATATCTCATTCATCTTGATCAGACAAAGGTTCAAGAGGTACCGTTGTGAATCGCACATGCCACTTTTTTTAAAAGAGGTTCATTTGAATTTACTTCAACCTTCCCTTTTATCGAAACAAAATAAAACGAAAATTGTTTTTATTAAAAAGTATTAAGTAATTTGGATTTTTCTTAAACCAAGATTTTTTGTAAAAATGTCATCTAAATTTCTTGTTTCATGTAAGTTGTAATGGCTGTGACAATTTTTTAAATATAATTATTAAAAATTGTTCTGTTTGATAGTGTTTGATAGGAAGATATAATTAATCATATATTACTATAGGCTAGAAAAGTGTAAAATGTATAAAATTAGTGTTGTTTTCGTTTTGGATCGTTTTAAGTAAAAATTTGATAAAACTTGCAAAATTATGTTGAAGTTTACAGAAATTAAAAATTTCTTCAAAAACTTGAATAAAATAAGATACAAAAATGATCGAAACAGCACGTTCGTCATTGCGCTTTTGGATCTATTTTTGCAAACATCTGCTGCTAATGTTAAAAATACAAGATTTGCTTTGCTTTACGCCATATTTTGACTCTGAAAGGCACGAACCAAGTGAAGGTGAAGGTGTCGGGGCCCCTTTTTTTAAGTTTTATCATTTAAGTACTACAATAACTGCAACCATTCTCCTTCGTACACTTCAGAAAAAATAGATTGCAAGATTTTTCAGTTTTCAGGGTTAAATATTTTCTTGAAAACTCTTCTCTTTTCTTCCGCTATTGAAACTAATTTTTTAGGATTTTATACCCTTTATTGGGGAAAATAAATGTGTTATTTTTTGGGGTCAAAAGAATGATATAGGATGTAAAAACTGGATCCTCTAATAACATTTCCCCCGGTTACTTGATAAAAAATAAATAAGTTTTATTTTTAACCCAACAGCTTTTTTTTGCACGCAGATAAGAGACAAAACAAGAGCTGATAAAAAAATTTGGTAAGATTCTGAACCCTTAATTGGGGAAAAAAATGTGTTATTTTTTGGGGTCAAAAGAATGATATAGGATGTAAAAGCTGGATCCTCTAATAACATTTCCCCCGGTTACTTGATAAAAAAAAAAAATAAGTTTTATTTTTTAACCCAACAGCTTTTTTACACACGCAGATAAGAGACAAAACAAGAGCTGATAAAAAAAAATGTGTAAGATTCTGAAGGAAGAAAAACGGAAAGTTATTTAGAGGTAGTTGGTAGAGAGAAAAATCAAAGAAGAAAGGAGAAATTAAAAAAATTGTTAATGAATAAAAAATTTAAATATTCCTAAACTTGATCTTCATTTCTTGCACGACGGATTCGGTTCCGCATCTAAAGGAAGTGGATCCAAAGAGGGAGGGGGTGCAGAGCAACCATGACCTCCGGAGCCTACTGATTCGCAAAATGACCTAGCTCCCATCAAAATCATCTCCGTGCCTTATGCCACGTCTCCGAGCCTCAACAATACAGTATCCATGTCCAGCATTCTTATCTCTAATAACAAATATTTGGCTTTTACATCCACCAAAAGCTTCTTTTTTTTGTTGAAAAATCTCAATTGATCAAAAAGTTTTTAATAATACTTAAAAAATTTGCATTAAAAAGTAACTTAAATTGAGATTAAGCCTTCTTCTATTGTTTTTCTAAATTTCAACATGTGCATTACTATTGCAGCATTATATAAAGATAGACAAATATTATCATTTCACAGGCGAATCAAGCACGAATCTAACTTAATAAGCACCAATTCACAAAACATAATAGTTTTTGTGAAATGCAATGAAATGCAATACAAGCACAAATTTATGTATTTCACAAAAACTGTTGTGTGAATTGGCTGCTTGATGTCTCACATAAGATTCTTATCTGATAGATAGTTAATTAAGACGCACACAGTCAGAGACGTCATCTGACTTCAACCATTTTAGTGTTAGCAAAAAAACATACTTAAAATCAAGGATGTAATGCAAGGAAAGTTATTTCAGAAGTGTACGCATCTTTTATACTGCAGTGTACTGTCTCTGGGCGGTAATGTAAACACAAGACGGACGTTACAGCCTGACATGGGATCCATCTTTCAAATAAAAAATCAATTAAATATTCTGGTCATAGGAAACTATTATGTGAATTATCAAAATTATCAAAATTCAATGCTTTTAACCTCCTCGGATAATAAACGAACACTGAGGCATCTTTTCTTGTTTAAAAACCATCAAGAACTTAAAACTTAAAATNCTTTCTTTGCATTACATTCTTGCTTAAAATTGTTTTTTATTGAAGGTATACTGGTATCCAACCTGCCCCACCTCCAGGCAATCTTCATGCATCTCCAAGCGAAGATGTCTGGGCACAAATGGATCTTCAGGTTAATCACACAGGGGTTAAAGTTAGTCAAAGACGTTCAGAATAGTCTCAAAGGGGTTAAGGTTAGTCACAGAGGCGTTAAAGTTAGTCATAGAAAGGGGTTAAAGATAACTATGAAGGGGGGTTAAAATCAGTGAAAATAAATTCAGATTTTTAATGAAGGGGTTACAGTTAGTCACTAAGGGTTAAAGGGGTTTAGAAGGGTTAAATATTATGTACAAAAGGGTTAAGTTTTATCACGACAGGGTTAAGGTTAGTCAGAGAAGGGTTAAAGTTAGTTACGAAAGGAGTTAGGTTAGTCAAGAAAGGTTGAATTTAGTCATTGAAATTAAGATATGTCAAGAAAGGGTTTAAAAAGTCATAGAGGGGTATCAATAACTATTGGGACTTCAGACGTATTTTCAATTGACTTTATAGTTATTCAGTTAAATGTTTCACAACGTTATTCTTAAGTAACATAGCGGAAGATATATTCGGTTTTCTAGATTCGAACATTCTCCTGCATTGTCTTTGTTGGTATTGTTTAAAAATACATCTTATTGTAGGGAGCCCGTCAAGCTGTAAATCTGGTGAACGGTGTTATTGTTGATGGACTTGGTCATGTGTCCTTAGATAGCAGCAGTAGTCCAGGGTTCATGACATCATTACAGCAACCTAATATTCATCAGGTAAAGGACAGGACGGGACAGGACGAGGGGAAGAAGGCCAACTACATCAATCTCTATTCCGAACCACATTCTCCTCATTTTCTCGTCCGAACCACCTCGGAATACTCGTCCTTCGATTATTTTGTGTTAAAAAGTTTCCAATTCTTGAAGATAAAACTATTTTTTAAAAATCTAAAATGGATGGAGTTAAGAATTGCAATGATTATATCATGTTGGAATCTTCAAACCCATGAGAATGATGTCAAACTTTATTTAGGTAAAACTTAAATCTCTTCTGCCTCCGTAATGGCTAACCTTCGTGATATGAAAAAATAGCAAAATATTCGGCATACCTCTGCCTATAATTTTCCCCATGGAACCACCCGGGAAAATGCTATGGTTTTCACTATAGTTAACAAAAAAGATTAAAGTTCTATAAACTTGGAATTATTTGCGGCATTCTACACCAGGAATATCTGAAAATGCGCGTAAAAAAGGTGAACATTTTTAAAGACATTAAACTTGAAATCTTTAATTCAATTGAAACTTTTTTTTTCGATTTACAAAAATTTGATATTTCATTTATGCCCTAACGTGGCCCGATTCTTTAAAAATAGTTTTATCTGGAAGGATTAGACACTTCAAAAAATAATATTGAAAGGACGAGGATTTCGAGGTGGTTCGGACAAGAAAATGAGGAGAATGTGGTTCGGACTAGAGATTGATGTGGTTGGCCTTCCTCCCATCACAGGACAAGGACAGCACCTTTGCTAGCGTATTTACATAATTTTCATAATTTTCGTCATTTTCAACATTGTCATTTTCTATAATATCATCACTATCATTATCATTATCATTATCAATATTATCATCATTATCATTATCTATATTATCATCATTATCATTATCTATATTATCATCATTATCAGTATCTATAATATCATCATTATTATTATCATTATAAATATTATCATCATGATCATTATCTATATTATCATCATTATCAGTATTTATATTATCATCATTATGATTGATTATCTATATTATCTAATTTTTAATGGAACCCATGGGTATCTTGGGGGTAAAACAGGCAAAAAACTTAAAATTTTTGTTAAATCCATTTTTTCCCAAAATTCTAAGAAAAGTTTTACTGGCAACGCCGGGCACTTCATCTAGTTATCAATACTATCATCATTATCATTATCTTTTATTATCATTATTATAATTATCCAGGGAAGTATACCTGCCACGGGAAGAAAAGACAAGGTGACGAGTGCCCCGGCAGTACCTACATCATCAGCTACTTCACTTCCCTTTAATCAGCTCATAGGTAACCTATCAGCTACTTCACTTCCATTTAGTCAGCTCATAGGCAACCTATCATCTTCATTCCTTCCCTTTAATCAGCTCATAGGTAACTTTTCAGCTACTTCACTTCCCTTTAATCAGCTCTTAGGTAACTTATCAGCTACTTCACTTCCCTTTAATCAGCTAATGTGGAACTTATCAGCAACTTCACTCCCCTTTAATCAGCTCATAGGTAATTTATCAGCTACTTCACTTACCTTTAATCAGCTCATAGGTAACTTATCAGCTCCACTCCCTCCCTTAAATGAGCTCATAGGTAACTAATCAGCGATGTTCTTTTCACTTAAATCAGCGCATAGGTAATTTATCAGCTACTTCCTTATTACTTCAATCAACTCATGAATAAATTATTATCTACATTTTTTCCATTAGCTCAAAGGTATTTATCAGGTACACCCTTCTCTTTAAAAAGTCATAGGTTACTTATATCAGCTACATTCCATTGCCTTTAATCAGCTCATAGGTAACTTATAAGTTAATTCCTGACCTTTAATCATCTTACAGGTAACTTATAAGCTACTTATTTCCCTTAGATCAGCTCAAATGTAACTTATTAGCTACATTCCTTCCCAGCTTAAATTAAAACAAAATTTCGCCGATTCTTCTGTTGAATTTTTAATAAACCTTTTATTAACTTGGCATTGTGCATTGTCGGATTTCAAACCAAAAATGGTTCATATTGTTTTTATGGTTTTTTTGTTTATTAGTGAAGGGAAAAAAACCTAAAATTAATCCATCTATCTATTTATCTATCTATCTATCTATCTAGTTGTCTATCTATTCAATTATCTATTTATCTATCTATCTATCTATCTTTCTATCCGTCTATCCATATATCCATCTATCAATTTATCTATCTATCTATCAATCAATCTATCTATCTATCTAGCTAGCTGTCTATCTATTCAATTATCTATCTATTTATCTATCTATCTATCTTTCTATCCGTCTATCCATATATCCATATATCCTTATATCCATCCATCCATCTATCCATCTATCAATTTATATATCTATCTATCTATCTATATATCTATATAACTATCTATTTGTCTATATATTCAATTATCTATTTGTCTATCTATAAATGTATTTGTATTAAAGGTGGAGCCATCAGTCCTAGCCTACTATCCAGTACCGGTCAACCTATCCTATCATCTGCTCAGGTACATTTAAGAGACTAGCAATAACTTTGAAAATTAGGGACTGACAGCAAATTTGATCTAATAAAATGAGAAATTAAAATAAAAAGTTTAAGATGTGTTTCAAACAAATATTTGAATTGCCAGTTTTCGCACACCGTGCAAACAATGATTTTTCGAGATATATACAGTATACACTTTAATTATTTTAGGGTCAGCCCTATCCAATAATTGGAGACTATGCCATGAACGGAAACCTTCGGCAGTAAGAAAGGTGAATATTACATTTTTTTACAAGGAAATGTTTTCCCCTGCATAATTGTTGTTTTTCGAAACACTTTGGGACAGGGACGGTTAAAATCTAAACCTTAAAGATTCTTTATTTTAATTTTTTTCAGGTGTGAGAAAATTGACAAGTTTATTATGCAGACTCAAGATCCAACAAGATTTTGCCCGCCATTTAAATTTGTTAAAACCCGCCATTTAATAAAATAGCGGATTTTTGTAATTATTGCATAATATCCTACTTTGGCTCAAATCGTAAGATTTAATTCGAAAAATAAATCAAGTAAAATTATTAATAATAATTCGGCCTACGTAGTATTTTTAAAATCTCAAAACAATATTTTACTTTGAAGCATTTTCTTGAAATCAAGAAATATCGTTGGCACACCGCTATTTTCCATAATTTCTCGGAATTCCGAAGTACAGTACAAACCAAACCGTTTTTTATAGTACAGGGATTTATTTAGGTAATTTTAAAGTTTGAAAGTAACTGATATCACAGGTTTCAGATTAATAAAGTATCAAAGGAAATATCTTACAGGGTGTCCCAATAAACATGGGAATTCAGTGACGAATTCGATATCGTCTTTTAAATAATTCTTTGATTTAGAATAGTGATACCTACTGAGAAAGCTGTAATCTGTAAGAGTTTCGTCTGCTATGTTCACATTTTGCATACGGTTGTACTTTGTAAAACAAGAAAATGGTAGTATACAAACAGAGTAAACTTGTCCGTCTTCACTGTTCATCTTGCGGAGACATTATAGACACATCTTTACAGTCTTCTACCCTTTTCATAGAATAAACTCAAGAAGACATAATAATATTATGGCTTTTGAAATTAGGTATTACTATGCTAATTCATGGCAAAGACGATATTGAATTCGTCACTGAATTCCCATGTTCTTTGGGACACCCTGTATGTTCGGGTGTTTTTTGATAATCCCTGTATTAGAGTATTTTTAATCACATTCGAAAATTAGAAGTCGGGAATCAAATCCTTTCCAATTTTATCTACATTTAACAATTTTAATTATGAAAAAAATAAGACAGTGTGTCCTGGTGAAAAGTTGTCTGAATTGTGAAATTTTGTACATTCCCACTTTATTACACGGTGAAACAAAAACAGCTGATTTTAGACCACTGACTTGTTCGGATTATTTTACTAACCTGTTTTCAGCTTCACCCTGTAAAACGTAAATTACCGCTATGCAAATGAAAGTGTTGCATTAGTATAATTTTCTACTCGATCTATTACCATAAACTCTCATGTTGAGAAAGTTTTGGAATTATTTATTCAAAAATAAATGTTTTTTTCTTCAGTTTTCTATTTTATTTCACAATGTTAAAACCAAGGTTATAGATAGTCAATACTAACCATATTATTACTTGGATCAAAATATTGAATTATATTTACAAAAGGGTACCCCCCCCCTCCACCTCTTTACACAAGGGTACCCCCCCCCCCTCCACCTCTTTACCTTTTACTCCTACGAAATGGGACAGATTAGAAATTAGTATTATTGCAAACAATAACTAATATTGTAACCAAGCGATGTTTCCAGAAAAATTAACCATTTTTAGATAGAAAAATATGAATATCTCCTTTACATCAGTAACATATACAGAGTACTGTTTCTAGAGGTCCCTTTTGTTTAAAGCACATTGCAGTTTAATTTAAGCTTGGTTTATAACATTCAGGATAACCCATAAAGAATGAGACTTCAGAAATGACTTCGGAATTTTTTAGGTCAGAGCTTGGAACTTTTGAATGGTGGATTTCGGGATTAATGCTTGATCCGCTATTTTTCTTAATCTCAAGATTAAATAATGCTTGTTCTCTCCCTTGTTATTAATCTCCAGATTAATTAACCAATAGGGATTAAAGCTATCCCATTTTAAAGTTTTCAGCTCTGTTTCTGTATATTCACGATTCCCTTTAACTGTAAACTTCTTTCTTGGCCTCATCATTAAATAAGCCATTAAAAGACTAATATACAGTGCGGCCCAAAAGTGTTTGCAATCTCAATATTCTGCCCCTGTGTAAACCAGGGTGCGGAAACGTCATGAGTGTGTGTCCGTACCAAAAGAGTGTGTGTATGGAATACCGAACCGACAACAGTAATACAGTACATAATCTCGGTATTTGTATAGTCTAGGAGAGTGCATTTGTTCATTGTTAATTGTTTACTTAAAATAAGTTTAATATTCTTGTAATATATTATGTATACATTTAGGTCAACACTAAAAAACAAATTTTCATGCAAAGTTTTTTTTTTATTAATTTGACCGAGATGCTAGAACTGAGCAAGGATGTTGATGAAAGTAAGTTTGGACGTCGAAACACTGATTAGGGAACCCAAAAGTAGTTGGGACTTACTCTGAGAAACAAGATAAGCTTATAACTTGTAAAACCCCCTTTCTTCAAACAGGTTAATATTTTACCGACAGAACGTCCCATATCATATTGGATTATCTCTAAGATTTAACGCTGAATTACCCACATAATACTCGAAACAACATATCGTCCCCCAAAGTACGTGAACTACACGACCACTATCTATGATGAGAACGGGCTCTGGCGGACCAGTATGTCTCCAAGAGGTACAGTTTTTCTGTATGGCAGCAGGGAGGGTCGGATGGGTCACAGTTTTTATTAACAGTACTCTGTTAGGTCCTTTTAGGGTTACTGATTTGGTTAATATCCAAATTCTGAAGCTGTTAGCCATTTTCTTACCCCTGGACGAAAAAGCAAATTTAGGAAGTAAAAGAAGGGCTTCTTTTCCAGCAAGACAATGCTTCCAGGCAAAGCAAGGGTTGGCTAAAGCCCTGGCTGGGAGTTCAGTTTCCTAACTGTCATGAACTGAACACCCGACAACCCTGACCTCAACCCTTTTCAGTTTTCTTGAATTATTCTTAAAAGAAAACTGCATCAGAATTGGACACAGTTGAAGAGTAAAAATACGATCCTTGGTATCCGATCCAGGAGATTTTTTTTAAGATCCAAGCACTGACCTCCGCAGTAAACAGGAGGTCTTTAACAGGTATTAAAGAGGACAGAGGTCACGTTAAAAGAAAAAATCAAGAATTTGTTAAATAACGTTTGATAAACTACTTATGAACATAAATTTTTTTTAATTTTTTCAAATTATTTTAGGTTTTGGCTTTTTGTAAATGATAAATTGTCTCGTTAAGAATATTTTTTGTTATGGAACTTGTGGTTCATTAGATTTTCGAGCTCTGATTACTAAACTGTTTTTGTTTTGTTTTGTCACACACAGACAAGAATAAACATAAAATCTTTAAAGTATCATTTTTACCTACTCAATCAAAGGCCTCTTACCATCATATTGAGGCTGCAAAAACATTTGAGTCGCAAAGCTATACATCCATTTTACACCCCCCTACTTTATTCCTTTCATATCAACCTTACTTTATTCTTTGTATACCTGCCTACTTTATTCCTTTCATTCCAACCTTAGTTTATTCCTTTCATACCAACTTTACTTAATAATTTCATACCTGCCTACTTTATTCCTTTCCTACCAAACTTACTTTATTCCATTCATATCAACCAATTACTTTATTCCTTTCATACCAGCTTTACTTAATAATTTCATACCTGCCTATTTTATTCCTTTCATACCAACCTGACTTTGTTCCTTTCATATCAACCTTACTTTATTCCTTTCATACCAGCTTTACTTAATAATTTAATACCTGTCTA